GTGAGGACAATTTGCTCTAACAGCTGCTGGCTTTGGCATTGTGCTTTGTTTAATCTAATATTTAAGGTGTTTGAAGCCTTGTTAGTAGGAGTATTTTTCAGCACTGTATTTTAAGAAGTGCAGAATATAATTGTGTTTCCTTTTGTGGGATTTGTTACAGCAAGGTTGCTATCATGAAGGAAAGAGGCTGAAATTCAAGACAGCCTGATTACTTTTGAATCTAGAGTTTACTGAAGACTTTGTACACCCATGTTAAGTGCCCAGTGAGAACTTTCTGATGGGAGGAAGAGGGATTCTCCTGGAGGTACAGACAGCAAACATTGCTCATGACAATGCTGAAGTAATAGAATTATGTCCCATGTCCCAGAATTAGCAGATCTTGAATACTTCCTTGTGGCAGGTTAAGAAATTAACAAATAAAAAGTTGAGTGATGAGAAGAGTACCCACACCAAGCCCCATCCTTGGGCCAACCATTCAAGCTTTGACCAGATGACAGGCTAAAAAGTCCCTTGTTTGGTTTTGGGTGCCACTCTGCTATGGCAGGATCCTAGGATAGTGCCGTTCCTGCTTTGGTGTTGTGGTTGAAACATGCTGTGACATCCCAGCCCACTGAAGTGGAATCTTGCCATTTGTTCTGTGACTGTCAGTGACTTCTCTTATCACTGGTGATGCAACGTGTGTGGTACAATGATACAAACGTCACAATGTAGGTGCTTGACCCAGTGGAAAAAAAAAGCAAACAAGCAGTAACAGTAGCTGCCAGCCAAGGCAAATAAAACTTGGAGGAAGGAAAGTTGCTCAGGATTTTTTTTTTAACTTTTACAAAGTGTTCTGCATGCACACAGAATTTCTATTCTTGTTAAATAGCTCTGAAGAAGAATTAGTCATCTTTTATTAAATAGTGAGAAACATTTTGGTTATACCATAAGTTCAAAGTAATAGCTCCTCACGCAGCAAGAGCAGGAATCAGTGCTTCTTTCCTGGAAAAATAGGAATTTCATTAAGAATTTCTTTAATTTTACTCTGTGATGTCTAGATGGGGTACCTGTCAGCTCTATCCATAGACTATTCCCTGTGGGGGAAGCCCTCTAAAAGTCGAGAGGCCAGCTGAAAGCAATCACTTCTAATGTGGTTTTAGACTTTCTGAATAGGTCCCTGGCTGCACAGGTATGGCAGATACTGCATTAGGTAATGGTGAAGGTCGGCACAAGCTGAAAATCTGCACAGAGCAGAAAGGATATTTTAAGCTGTGTAACAAATGTCACAAGCTCACTCTCTCTGTGCTTTTACACAAAACACCAACAGCTGTGTTTAAACAGTCCTGAAGGACTCTCTTGGTAAAAGGCAGTGCTGTCGCTTCCAGTTCCGGGGGAGCGATGAATATGAACTGAACCTTCCCCCACCCTCTCATGACAAGTGGCAGTGACAGCACATGCTGAACACATTCAGACAGTGGCAGTATTCCCAGCAAAGCACATGCTCCCCTGAGCTTCAGGAGTGGAAACGACTGGGCCAGACAGCATTTTGCCCAAGGCCTTTCCATGCTCCCAATTCTCCTTGGAGAAGCCAGTTATTTATAGCAAGCAATGTGAGTTCTCCGGTGTTGGACTCTTCCTTGCAAATCATTGCTCTTCAAGAAATATTTTGGCAGTGCCATGCCCTTCAAGTGGTAATATTGTCAGCAGTCTCTCTTAGAAGAGATCAGATATCCTACAGCTAATTTGGAGAGTCCCCTACACCATTAAAAAAAAGGGGGAAATATATCTGACTGAATTCAACAATCTGTGAATTAAGCACAACCTGCCACTCACACCTGAATTATGAATAGTTATAGTTTCCATTAACTTGAACAAGAAATTCATGGATCTAACTGTTTATTTTGGCATTTTCCCTAGTACCAAAACCATTTGTGCAATTAATATGGTAAAATCAAAAATGTTAAAAGGCTAAGCAGTTTCCCAATGCTTGGTGTGACATCTTTAGACTGGGAATCGACACTAGAGGTTTTTTTCTTGCCAGGTGACCTCCCTTTGGTTTTCTCCTCAGAACCCCTTCTATAGCTATAAGAATAAAATAGATTACACATAAAATAGATTACACATTTTTCTCTCAGAGTATGAGTATTTCAGTACTGCATTCACACTCCAACATGTAATAAACATGCTCCACTGTACACTGAGTCTAATGACCACGTGGGCCTTGCATGCCAGAACCTGAGAGACTGGACCCGAGGTAGATGCTCAGTAAATTGTACAGCTAAAGCTGTTATTCAGACGTTCGACACAATGGGGAGCTCTGGTAACAGAGAAGAGAAACTTGCCTTCATCATCTGTAGACACTGAACAGGAAAGGATGGTGTAAGGCTGCTCCCAGCATTAGTCTGGTCTTACAGCTTTATTTGCAAAACCTAAGTGTATTTATCTCATTTGCTAATAAAGAGCTCTTTTTGTGCAGGCAGCTAAAGCCTCTACAGCTGGTGAGATAATCGCCTGTGTCTGTGTGCTGCAGAGCTCCTGCCTGTCTGGCTGGAGACAAAAGATTTCTTTTTGTCTTTCTCATCTTTTAGGTTTCAGCCCGAGTTCTACTGACTACAAATTAGTTCAGTCCCTATGACTCCTTGGTTTGTGCTAAGTCTGAAAAACAGGGTACATATTTTCTCAAGGTATTGTTATAAAATGGTCTCATATGTATTGTCCCTTTATTCTTAACAAGAAAAACAGAATAGTATCATTTAATTAATTATTTTCTGTTTCCTGTGGGTGGAATAAAGGCAGAAGGAAAGTTAAAAACTGCATAAATTTGTGGGCACTGCAAAATAGTTGTCAGGGAGCAGCAAGGGCTGGTTGCTCCATAAGGGAAGGTGAGTCAGGAACAGAACGTGATTTCAGCATGGTCAGTGTCTTCACTGATGGCTGAACTTAGAATCACAGAAGAGCTTGGGTTGGAAGAGACCTTAAAGAAAATCTTGTTCCGAACCCCATTCTATGGGCAGGGGTACCTTTCTCTAGGCCAGGTTGCTCAAAGCCCCATCCAACCTTTGGATCCAGGGATAGGGCATCCACTGCTTCTCTGGGCAACCTGTTCCAGTGCTTCACCACCCTCTGAGAAAGAGTTCCTTCCTAACATCTAATCTAAATCTTTTCTCTTTTAGTTTAAAACCACTGCCTCTTATCCTATCACTATCTGCCTGTGTAAAAGGTCACTCTTCCTTTATTTTTATTACCTGTTTTAGGTATTGGAATGTACTCTAAGTTCACCCTGGAGCCTTCTCTTTTCCAGGCTGGACAATCCTAGCTCTCTCGTCCTGTCTTCATAAGAAGAATGTCTTCATGTCCTGTCTGAATGTGGTGGACAGAGATAGATGGTGATAACTGAGTTCATCAACAGTCCCAGACCAGGCAAGTAATGAACCAAATCCAGGATCCAAACTCAGATCTGGAGCAAAGACAGGGTTCTAGTCAGGGCTAGGACATGGGTGCAAAGTCCATCCAGGATACAGGGAAAAAGGCAGGCTGGGAACAAGGTAGAATGTGCATTCTTGGGGTCCATCCACCTATGGCCTGGCTCCATGGCCTGTCCAGGACACTGGGCCTGAGACTGGACTGGGGACATGTTTGGTGTAACTCAGCTTGGGCAGGGGCTGCATCCCCTGATGGGCCTTGTCAGGACTGTTCAGGTGTGGTACAGGCCAGCAGCCTTCCCTTCCCTCAGAGCTGCCGTGGGGGCAGGCTCCCACAGCCCTCGCTGTGGGACAACCACCAGCACAGCCTGTAATGAATAACCTGTCTGGCAGCTGAAAGCACACTGCCTTCAGAGGGAGATCTATAAAATAAATATTGGTATGCTGCATTGTGGATTACAGATTCTTCAGAGACTTGGTGAAATGCAAGGGGAGGTGGGGGAATCATCCTATGGGCCTTCTGTAAGATTAGTCTTAATCATGATAGCAAAAAATTATTATTAATCCTGGCTCTTCTGGATTTTTGTCATTGGGCTTTTAAAGCACTGCAATCTGCATTACAGGCTTTCCCTAGCAGCAGCCAGAAATTGTTTCCCCATTTACACCCAAATGATAACTTGCTTAATACTTCTCATTTGCTTTTCACCCAAAAAGCACAATTCATGACAAACAAACTCTTATGCTTTTTGAAGGACTTAATACCTACCTTTGAAGGTAGGACTTAATTCTTTCACAGAAGGCAGTTTATTGTAACTGCACGCTTCCTGCAGCATCTGGAGAGGTTTGAGCAGGATATTAAGCAGTTTACCTCTTGGTATGGCAGATCATTTGTTGTGAACTTACACAGTTCCTGTTATCTTTTATATTATTGTAACTCAGTTAACCCAGTAGCATTTCTCTGCTGTCCAGGTTGTTTAAGTGCCCAGTGTAAGGGTCTCACCAAAAGTTTTTATCTGTGGAAGACATTTCTAGAGCCTGTAACCAACAAGATGTGATGGTTTCTTGTTTAGCTAGTGCTGTCTTCATCACATCTAGGAGGTCTCTGACATTTTCCTGTGGGTCTCACAATCACATTTTGTCAGGTGGAACTGTGTGGTTGGGCAGGTAGCAGGTAGGGAGATAATGGTGTCTGCATGAAAATATGGTTAGTTCTTCTTGCAAATAAGAATTTTACCTATGAATTAGGTTGCTTTTTAATTTAATTTAATTGCACCTATGAATTAGGTGCTGTTTTAAATCTCCTGCATTTCCAGTGACACGTCTCTTTTTTCTGATACTAAGCCATGGTTGCTCCTGTTATATGGATGGCACCTGTCCACTTAGTAATTCAGATGCTTCATTTCACCTTATGATTTTGGGTTTTCTGCAATCTAATCACGCTCTTCATAGGTATGTAGTTACATTAAGATTAGATGGACAATTTCACACCCACAATCACCCCACAATCTCCCAGACTAAACATGTATATCATCACAGAAGTCAGAATTTCACTGTTTTTCTTTCTGGCTAGCTGGTTGTCTCCTCTGCTAGATCAGCTTATTGAAAATGATCCCACAGAGAAGCACATTTTTTTTTAAAACTGGGACCAGTATTGCCATTTGGGCCAAAAAAATCATGGATCATCTGCAGCTGCTCTTCTTTCCACTGCCCAGTAGATATTACCAGACTGGATGATGCTGGTGGGACCCAGCCAGACCTGATCCAAATAGAAGTGACTTTTGGATACTCAGCAAATGAGGAAAGCCAGTCTATTATGGTATGACACTGGTCTTACTTCATAAAAAATGTAGGCAGGAAATAACTAGGAGTGACTGATTGGATTTTGGGTTCAGTAATGGGCTAAAATAGATTAGAATTTCAAAACAATTGCAATAACTCTAGCAAATTCATACCACATCAATTGTACAAAGATATGATAAGGACTGGTAGTTTGTTACCTGGAGACTGTACCAAGCTCCTCACAAATGCATGGATTGGAATTCATTAGCTCTCACTCCAATGAGTGGACCAAAAGTATAGCAAATAAGCAGTGGAGGGAAAACATCTATCAAAGATTGTATTTAAAAAAAAACCAAACAGAAGAGGGGGGACACTCAAACACAATCATAGTTTCTCATTTTTTCATATGAAACTGTGATTAGTTTAAAAGTACCTACTTCTGACACCTGTTTCCATGACAACAGGAGCAGGAGCTAGAAATTGCATCTTTGGAGTTCTTGTTGGTTGCACTGGCACAGGAAACTGGAGATATCGTATACAGGCATTGGGACCATTCAGCAGAGTGTTGTCAGGAGAAGAGGAAGGTTTCATGGTGTGTTAAAATCCCTTAACACACTTACAGGAACTCCCTACAGCTAATATTATTGTTATTCTTTAAAAATAAAAAAAAATTAAAGGTAATTTTCAATTTAAAGCTAAAATTATCAGTGAGAAGTACATTTTGCCTGGAAAAATTGCACCTCTCAAGCAGCTAATAACATGAGGCTTGGAAAAGAAACACTTAATGTAACAACATTATTGTATTGTTCTGTGCCTCTAAAACTGCCTGATAGACACTTATTTGCCTATTATCACATCTTTTTCTTAATGGTATTTCATTACATCTAATTTCAATATGTGCTGGCAAAACATCTTTTTGTGTGTTGCTGAATCATATATTTACTTGGAGTTCGTTACAATGAACAGTCTTATTATTTTATGTGATTTGCTGAAATATTTTCTTGTACCTGAAGTGTTTTTCAATGGAAAACTTAAGCATGAATTCCTACTTGGACAATACTGTAAAATCTGGAAAGGACCACCACCAACATGATGGAGTATTCCACTTCTGTGGAAGTTATTGTTCAGATGTCTTCCACATAAAATGGAGCTGTGGGCCATTTGTGCAAAATTTCTGAACATTTGCAAAGTATCAGATCTGAGCAGTCAAGAATTAAGCATGATGACAGCTTCTTGCTTCTTCCACAAATTCTCTCTCCTAAGAAATATGGACCATTCCTTCGTCCAAAAAGTGTATTAAAAAACATAATTTATGAGTCATAACACCTATGACTTAATACATAGTTTAGAATAAAGTTCTACTTAGAAAAATATCTTGGTTTTAATGTTGATCAATAATTGATGTCCAAGAAAAAGTGTGAGGAAGGGTTCCTGTATAGAGTGATCCTTCCTTGCTATGACTACTTCTGGCAATCAGTAAACTAAGTTTAGTTTTTGTATGAAGGTATAAACCCCTCCTTTCCTGTATCTGGTTACAGGACTTAATTGTGCAATCTTTTTTCCTAAGCTCATTCTTCAATAAATTGCTGCATGCCACATTTAACAGGATTGAGTTAATTGGCAACTTTGTTCCACAGAAGGAAAAACCCTCAAGAAAAAAATGCACTTGACATTGCAAGTAACTCATGTGCATGCTGCTTTTGCAGGGAGAGATTTGACAGCTTGTAATTGCTGCAATTCCTTGCAGTAACAAAATATTCCTGACCTTTTATTGATAATTTTTATTGCTATTACAGTTATTAACAATTCAGTTGCACCAAGTGGTGACACGTGGTACTCCAAATGAAGGGGAACCATCAGAACCCATCTGGCTCCAGCCCACCCATGATGTGTCTTTGCCAGGAGACAGGACAGAGCTCAGGCCTCACTCAGCCCCAGTGCAGATGTTATGGGGCTGCAGGGAGTGGCTGAGGGATGTGCACAATAATGGGATTTGGGGAATGGTTACCCCTGGAGGGTCATGGATCATCCAAGCTTTTCCTGTGATTAGTGTCTTAAATGCCATGAGTAATAATCACAATCAGCATCATTTTTATTCTTCCAGACAGTGTCACAGTGCCAATAGGCAGGTTTCAGTGGTGTTTCAGAGCAGATGATGTTGGCTTAGAGACTCTCTTTCAACAGAAGTCTGGGACCCTTTCTGGGGACTTCAAGCTGCATTGGAAGCTGCACCATGAGATTGGACTGGGGACACTGGAACTCTGCCCTTCTTGATTTTTCACCTGATCACAGCTTCTCTTTCCCCCTTCCCTACCCCTGGAGTGGTACAGCAACACAAATAATGCTGGCAGCCTCTAAGAGCAGGACATACGAAGAGACACTAGGACAGGATGGTACTGGTTAGATCCAGGCTACACCATGGAAAGCAGCACAGGAGGTATACAAGAATACTCTTTTCAATATTTTCAGAGTATGGATACCTTATAATTTGATATTGAGTGGTATCATGTGCATTTAAGAACTGTTATGCTACCAAAATATCAAGGGATTGCCTCTGACTAATAGAAGTGACTATAAGAACAATATGTGAACAGTTTAATTTACTGTTTCCTCTAAGGAGATTTAATTTGAACAATCTTAAATTCTCACACTAAACAAAGCAATATCTTAACATGCATTTTCAAATATTTTATTTTAAAAATAATTATTATGGACTTACAATGTACAGTATTATGTCGTCCAATATATAAGAATATTCATTATCTTTGGGAAAATCTAGGCTGCAAAGCTATTCTAGCCCTCACACACAGGCTATGGTGCAGCTCATTATAAACCAAAGTAATTATTCTTGAAAAGTTTTTCCAACTTAAATCAGCTTTCTTAACTCTGAGAAGCCAATAAATATCCAAGAGATGTGCAATTTTTTCTTTCTTGATATTTGCTTATCCCTAGATACCATTTTCAGCCAATTTTGTTCTGAAGAGTGTTCATTCATATTTTATTCTTGATATCCATGTAAAGGGAGGAAAAAACGATCAGCAAGAGACTAAGAAGAATCTGAGAAGCCAGAGGGAGGTTATCCTCTTATATGACGTTAATGACAAGAGGATCTGCTGGGATTTCTGCTAATAAAGGTGAGGGTATTCAAGTCACTCTTTATTTGCAGAGATTACGAGGGGAAGCATTGCAGTGACTTGCTGTAGTAGTTTTCATGGCTGTGCTCTTCTGTACTTCCAAAGGAAAGAAACTTTTGTCCTTAAAGAACTCTTTCCAGAGGGGTCATGCTTTTGTTGTTGTCTCTGGTCAGATCCACCTCTCATTTAGTAGATAATGAGGGAGCTTTTGTGCCCAGCTCAGAAACTCCAGCAAATGTGGAGGTTATTTCTGTCATTGGATGCAATTGACTTTCAGTGGAAACAATGATCCTTCAGGGTGACAAGCACTGAGCACATGCTCCCTGCTGTGGGGTTTTGAAGTCTGGAGGCTTGGTTATTGAGGAGGTGAGTTGTGATATCCCACTGTGAGTGACATGCAAGTAAAGTCACAGGTGAATTTAAAGCCTCATGCTCCAGCTTTGTAGTGACGCTCAGTAAACACACCTGTAGGTGGTAACAGCTGAATGGAAATGTGAAAACATGCTCCTCATCATCTCCCAGCTATTATTGATAACTCCCACCTGAGACCAGTGCTTCCTAAGAGTGCACAAGTGGATCTAGCTGTGGGTCAGCATTCCAAATCTTCCTGTACATGCAGTGCATCCACAGTCATCCTGTGTCTGGGACCAAGACCTCAGTAGGTGTGATGAAATCCTCCAAGAAATCAGTAGTATCTCCTCTATAAATTTGAAGCAATATGTCTCCCTTCCTGCCTGAGCTGAGCCCTAGCTGAAAAAATGACAGTGCTGGTAGGTTATCCATAGCACACATTTTCTGTGTAAATAAAGGATTCTAGGAAAACTTTCTGAAGCATTATGTGCATGGATTCCTCATTGCAGCTGACATGTTCCTGTACAGTAACTTCCAGCTGGTGAAATGTTCCTAGAAAATACATTCTCACCAGCTGCTCCAGGTCAGAGTAATCAATGGCATCTCAAAGGCAAAAAATAACTCCTTTGTTGGCTTGCCACTCATTTTTTATATCCACAAGTACATTAAAGCTTTTTGTAAATAATGAAAGGAGTTTGCTGTTGAGTGACAATGGTGTTCCCATATTGCATTATATCCTGTTCATTACTTTTATTCCCTGGCTTGAGCCATAAGTAGGACAGCAAAATGTGTCCCTGTCCCTGCACATCTGTCTTTTCTAGCTCTGTGATTCACAATACCTTGAAAGAACATTGGCTGGGGAAGACCAGCATTGCACTCTTTAAAAGGCATTGACTATTTAGGAAATTAAATTTGAAGTTAGTAGAGATGCTGGAGTGTCTTTATCTTGAGAAAGAGAGTAAAGTGAACAAGCATCAGCAGCTGGCTTCATTGAGCAAGTGATACAATGAAAAGATAGGGAATTCTTCTTATTTATCTCTCCTGATTTATTTTATTTAGCAATAAAAGGAAAGCATGATGCAATCTCTTTCTTGTGAGAAAAATAGCATTTATTTATGATACCTTGGACTCCTACCAGTTGATGTTCAAGCAAGTACTTATCAAGGGCAAAGTACTTGCTTTTCTCAAGTTTCAAAGTAGGTCATTTTCCACTGTTGTTGGGTTTTAGTGCCCAAAAACTTCCTGGTTAAAAAGTTATTGGAATACTGGATGATGCAGGCCCTGACACCAATACTTCAGAAAGGAGCACAAAGAATAGGTACCAGCCTTGCCACAGACATGAACAAGCTATTCTGTTTTTTTCAAATAAAACAAAAAAACCCAAAATGAAACAAACAGACAAACAAACAAACAAAAAAACCCACCAAAATATTGTGAAATATAAAAAGGTTTTTATCCTCTTCGGAGATGTACAACTTGCAAGAAAACAGAGTACCTTTATGAAAATTGCATTGTGGGAATACTGGTGTATTTAGGAGTCATAAAAAGATTTAGCAAAAATGCACAAAGTCACAATCTTTCTCTTAGAAAACACAAGTAATATGCAGTATTTAGTAGACAGGGGAAAATAATTGTTGTTTTTCTGAGTGAAGCTGGTAGTTGGTGTTAGTTGATCATAACTACCTTCACAGGCTGAGAAGCAATGCCTTGATGTAGTTTGGTCCTGGTGACAGACATGAGTCTGTACTGATCATGCAAAATGCTGAATGGAACAGTAATATTATTACAGAGACAGGTAAAATATTTCCCAAGGTCTAATTCCACAAAATTCCACATAAAGAGGAAAAGAAAAAAAAAAAAAAGACTAAACTAAAAGTGTGATCTTCCCTTGGTTAGCTACATTTGTAAGCAACAGATTATTGACAAATTAAGACAAAAAACACCAAGAAAAAGATACAATAGTTCTGTGAATATTCCAGAAATTTGCAAGATGGATTTGTCCAATTTAAATTGTCATTTTCCTTGAGATTCATAGTAAGTCCTCAAACACAGACCTTTAATAGTCCATTTGAACTCTGGGTACATAACTTCTCTGCAATTTTACAGTAAATTATTATTTAAATAATTTCCAATAGGATTTGAAGTGCTGCAGTTATATGAATTTGAAAAATAGGGCATAGAGAATCATATACCTTTTTGTAAAAAACAGAATTTCTCCATCATTATTTATCATAGTTTTGGGGAAAGCTGGCCATTCCCAGAACCTGCCCCCAGGAAGGACTTCTGGGGAACAAGGGTAGCTAGTCCTGCAGTGAAGGCATGGCCAAAGCATTTTCAGAAGCAAACAAGCCAGGAGATGGCCAGCTGAGCTGTCAACTAATGTAAGTTCAAGCCAGTCATAAAATCATAGAATCCTTAAGGTTGGAAAAGACCTCCAAGATCATCAAGGCCAGCCTTAAGCTAAATACCATTATGCCCATTAAACCATTTTGTGAAGTGCCAAGTCTAATCATTCTTTGAATACTTCCAAGGATGGTGACTCAGCCATTTCCCTGGAGAGACTTTCAGTGCTTAACCACTCTTCCAAGTGAAAAAATATTCTGTAGTATTCCACCCCCCTGGAGCAGTTTTCACAGTACTCAAAATATTCTAAAATGCAGTATTTAAAAGACCTAAAACAAACAACAACAACAAAAATACCCCAATGAACCATGACAGTGTTGAATATGTATCACTGAAGATCAGCAGCACAAGGTTTGGACACCCAGCATAAGGATGGAGCAGATACTTTGCTGTCTCATGACACACAGGCTGTTTTCCCCTCTTTGTCGCACAAAATCTGGTGTTTACTGTGAGGAGAATGCTGTGGACTCCCCTTGTCAGCATAATCTTTCTGCCCCTTTTTAATTAAGCTTGAAAGGCTAAGGAGTGTATGTGAGGAATGAGAAAGTGAACTTTTCATGTTTGAATTAATAATTTTTTCCTCTTCTGAATTTGCATCTGACAGCAAAGCTGGGAGCCCTGGTATGGGCAGTGGTTTTTTGAGGGGTTAGATCTTCTCCTACCCTTGTCCTGTCCACATGCCATGGCAGGCTGCAAACTGGCAGACCTGC